CTCTCTCTCTCTCTCTCTCTCTCTCTCTCTCTCTCTCTCTCTCTCACACACACACACACACACACACACACACACAGAGACAAATATTACATGTCCAGACTCATATGGAATATAAGCATGTTGATTTCAGAAGTAGAGTGTAGGATGGTTATTACCAGCGTCTGAAGTGTTTAAAAGACAGGCAGGGTTTCAAACATGTCAAAGAATATGTAGTTATAGCTAAGGAACAAGTTCAAGAGAAAGAGCCTTCATAGAAGGGTGATGAGGTAATGAAATACGAGTTAGGACAGTTGATGAATGTATATATAGCAAATAAAAAGAATTATTTCAAGAATTCAATCAGTTAATTAGATGTAAAGCATTCAGAATAACATTTCATATATGGGACACAGTGTACACATTTTAGATATTTTCATTATTAATTTCATTTTGTATTTTTTCTGTTGCTGACATCATTCATTCATATAAAATCCCCAGTGGGAGTTTTCCTTGTGGCTCCAGATCATAACATAACTCCCTTTGTGTTTCCTATAGCATGATAACATGAATTTTCATTCATTAGGTTCATTCAGCTACAATCAACCTGACACATACTAAATTGGTAGCATTGTGCTAATCAGTGAGTATACAGGAGACCAGGATTTAGTTCTTGCTCTCCAGGAGGCTTGGTGGATTGAGGAAAGCTTGAAGGATGCCTCATAGAACATCACAGATTGTAACACCGTGGTAAGAATACTGGAAGAGCAGGGTGGATAGGATGCAGAGGGAAGAACTAATTAGGGCAAAGTGTAAAGGCCACTGAGCAGTCATCACAGAGGAGGGAACTGGCTTAAGGAAATAGGGTCAGGACAAAGGGGAGTGCAAGCATCATGCACTCAAGGATCTTTGAGTACCCTGGGAGTGGGGTATGGGCAGCAGGGTACTGTGGATGGTGACTTAGAAAAAGCCTTGAAACTTCTGCTATAGAGTTCAACTTATGGCTGGAAGATATCAAGGGAGATGCTGAAGGATTTAAATCAAGCCAGTTAGTTGGGGGCACAACCCTGGAGATGGTTGTAGAGGCAGATCAACCCATTATAGAAAGAAATTTGATAAATACAAGGTGTTTACTATAGTGTGGGTCTTCTGAACTAAAGAAAAAAACATACCCAGCAACTATAGACAAAATAAGACATCCCAGGCTTATGGACTTGGAATGTCTTAAGATCTGGATTGTTGGGGTTGAAGGGTTGCCTGGGTTGGTAGTGTTTACCTTTCAAGCATGAGGCCTTAGTTGGCACCTAGAACTCTGGGAAAATGCTGGGTGTGGTGGTGCATGCTGGTAATTTCAGCACCAGGAAGGCAGACACAGGAGGACCCTTGCAACTCACTTGCCATCCAGTCTAGTTGAATTGCTGAGCTCCAGGCCAATGAGAAACCATGTCTCAAAGGAGATGGACAAAATTCCTCCATGTGACATCTAAGGTTGTCTTCTATCACACATGCACTCAAGCACACTTGCACACAGATGTGAGTATGCATATATGTACACACATGCTTGTAAACAGACACACATAGATATACTTAAGAAAAGCCACCCAACAGGGCTGTCTAAGAGACAAGCGTTCCAACCCTTTAAAGCAGTAAATTATAAGACGAGAATAATTAAACAGAAGAGGAGGTCACTTTATGTTTTTGGTGCTCTGCCATATGCCTACAGCAAGTGCCCTTCTTTCCATACGCTGTACCAACGGTGCCACCAGAGTTAAGTGGTGACACCATGCATATTGGTTGGTGGTGGCCCTAAGTAGTTGTAAAATGGAGTTAGCATCCCTTTTATTGCATTTTCAGCATTTAATAAAATTTGCTTCATTTTTCTGTTGTTAGCCATGCTCATGTTGTTAGTTGCTTGCCTAGCAACTACACATTTGTTGTATATTTAATATTTTTATTATGTGTGTGTGCGTGCATGCATGTATGTCTTGTGCGTGTGTAGAGATGAGGACAAATCCTAGGAGCTGGTTCTCTCATCCACTTTGTGCAATCCTGGGATTTAATTTAGGTCTTCAGGCCCGTGTGCAATCGCCTCTGGCCATTGCCATCTTGCCAGCCTTCCTTTCAAATCTGACTCCGTCTTCAAGGAAGAGTGGTTCTTCCCAGCCCACGATCTGAAGATGAATGATGAGTCTGCTGTATTTTTCTTTTGCCAGTAACTGCTTTAGTAACTGTCTTGAGATGGGTGATAAGATTGGACAGGCCAGAGAGTGAGAGGAGACTGCTGAGAACTCCCCAATGGAGAACATCATCTGACACCAGGAGAGCCGAGCAGGAGCGCCTGGGTTCTCCAGAGCAAGGACTCACTGGCTTCAGGAAAGGCTCAGAAGGTCCTCATGTTTAGAAAACTACCCTTCATCAGTTTGCCTCAAACTTATTCCAATATAGGACTCTTATTCACGTGTCTATGAATACAACATTGAATGAGTATTCTAAGATGCTTTCGAAGATTTTAATTTTTGGAACATTTCTCTGATGCCCTCGGCACAAAAATAAAAATAGATATAATAAAAAATAAAATAAATAAATAAAAATAAAAATAATAAAAAAGAGCAGCCAGGCTCTTCGGAGTTTCCCCTCTGGTTTCACTTATTTCGTTAAACTTTCTTTTCTTAGCCCAATCTTGAAGAAAATGCCTCTTAGCTAATTCTGAAGCCACTTAGTGAGGAGAAAGCCATTGGTTTCTGGAACTTCTAATTTCTTGTCTCCCAGTCAAACAATAAAGCAGATAGTTTTCGATTTCTTTATTTCCTAGGCTAACCAGAGAAAAGAGGTCTGAATTCTGGCTGCATTGGTTGGTCCATGAAAGAAATAACGGATGTGAAGGAAGCAGATGGCACCCCAGTTTTGCCTTTCTGTCACTAATCTGGTTAGCCAGTGAGAAAATGTTCATACAGTGTGTCTGGCTAGATTCCGAAGGAGCAAAGGATTTTCCCTTGTTTTATTCTATGGAAGGTACCCCATGGTGGCAGAACCAGGGGGCACCTCCCAGGCTTAATAAATCCCCCGATTAAGATGTGGACAGAAACTAAGGATTAAAGGAGTGAAATCAAGTCCATAGTGTAACTTAGCAAATTGAGGGCGTGGCTCGGATCGTCACACCCTGGATTGTCAATGGCAATTGTCCTGCCCTTTCTCACACAGCATTATAAGCCAAACTCACAATATTTAGGGTAGGAGATGGGGTGAAATCGCCAATACCACCGTCATTTTAAATTAGTGAGAATTGAATACTTTAGTATCAGAAAGATTCTAGTTGGAGATACTCAGGCAGTTAGAAATAATGATAATTCGAAAGCGGAGGGGAAATGTTCATTTCATTAAAATTTATCAAATGCAGAAATATTTTTATTATAAAACCTAAAGGCCAAAGAAGACTGCATTTGAAACAGCTCTCACGGAATGAGGGAAGGTGGAGACAGACGGGGGACATGGCAAGACTAAGAGAGAGGATGCAGGGCACACAGCAGGGACAAGCAAGGAGGTGGCTTGGGGATAACTTACATCTTAACTTGTCCATGATCTTCCCTCCGCACAGCGTGGCCAATGCCATCTTGACAGCAAATACTGAGATTTTACCATGGCCTTCCCTGTTTAATGATAGCAGGAAAAAAAAGATGTTATTTAGGGTACTTCCAGTAAAGAATGTTGACATTTTCTACTCTGTAGAAATTGTAGGATACATGGCTGCATGCAATATGCAAACACATTTTAGAAAAGGTTGTGAATACAATTCAACACACATTGCTGATGAGCTGTCTGATGCTTTTGTTTTTCAAGAGACATCAGAATCTCCTAGTTTATTCACTGTACATGTCACTTGCTCAAAATATAGGCTGGTAGCCAGAGAAATATGCCCTAGATAACTGTGGGTTTAAATAGCAGATCATGCATTTTTTTTCCTTTGGGTTTCATGACATAATTTTATGCATGATTCCAGTCTCCATAATTTATTCAAACAGACTTCAGAAACTTCATATTTTATTTCCTTAGAGAATTCAAAAATTTTAAGTTAGGCTAACTATGTGGACTTTATAATTTTAAGTTCAACTTTTATTTTTTTATTATTTTTTGACATTTTATTTTATTTTTTATTGAAAATATTCTTCTCGCATACAATACATCGCGACCACAGTTTCCCCTCCCTACACTCCCCCTGGCTTCCCCCTAGCTCCCCCTGTCCCCCGATCCACTCCCCCTGCTGTTTCCCTTCAGAAAAGAGCAGGCCTCCAAGAGACAACTTTTAAGAACAGGTTTTTGCCAACTATCATTTTCTAAACACAAACCAATTGTTTGTGTGTTTGCTATACCCACTTTAAGAAGACAGCTGGTATTTTAAGAAGTCAGAACGCAGGGGCTGGAGAGAAGGCCTAGCTCAGTGAATCGCTTGCTCGGGAAGTATGAGGATCTGCGCTTGGATCCCCAACACCTACATAAAGGCTGGGTACGATGGCGCATACTTGTGATGTCACCATCGAAGAAGCAGAGCCAGACAGATCACCGACCAGCCTAGCTAAACCAATGAGCTCAGGATCAGTGAGTGAATCCGTCTCCAAAAAATAGATCGATATGTCTTATGAACACACATGCAGGATTCCTTAATAAAATACTTCAAACAGAATCCAGGAACACATCCAAAAGATTTTCCGCCATGATCAAGTAGGCTTCATCCCAGAGATGCAGGGATGGTTCAACATACATAAATCGATAAATGTAATCCATCACAAACACAAACTGAAAGATAAAAATATCTCATCTAATTAGATGCAGACAAGGCCTTTGACAAAAATTCAACACTCCTTTATAATAAAAGTCCTGGAGAGATTAGGGATACAAGGGATATAACTCAACATAACAAAGGCAACACACAGCAAGTCCACAGCCAACATCAATCTAAATAGAGAAAGAAAATGAAAACATTTCCACTAAAAATCAGGAACAAGATAAGGGTGCCCACTCTGTCCATACCTATTCAATATAGTACTGAAGTCTTAGCTAGAGCAATAAGACATCTGAAAAAGGCCAAGAGGGTACAAATGGGAAAGGAAGGAAAAACATTCTTATTTGCAGATGATATGGTTTTATATTTAAGACCCTAAAGACTCCAGCAGGAAACTTCTATAGTTGATAAACACTTTTAGCAAAGTTTCAGTCTATGAAATCAACACATGAAATCAGTAGCCTTCTTATATACAAATGACAAACATACTGAGAAAGAAATCATGGAAACAGTACCTTTTACAATAGTTTCAAAAATATCTTAGAATAACTCTGATCAAGGGTGTGATAGACTTGTATAGTAAAAACCTTTAGGGTATTAAAAAAAAAAGAAATTGAAGAAGACTCCAGGAGATGGAAAGGTATCCCATGATCACGGACCAGTAGGATTAATATTTTGAGAATGGCCATCCTATCAAAAGCAATCTACAGATTCAATGCACTCCCCATCAAAATTACAACACGATTCTTCACAGTTGAAAACAACCTACAACCTTCCACTTCATATGGAAACTTAAAAAAAAAAAAAGAAAGGAAGGAAGGAAGGAAGAAACAAAGGGAGAAACAAAGAAAGAAAGAAAGCCAGGATAGTTAAAGCAATCCTGAATAATAAAAGAACTGCTGGCGGTGTCACCACCCCTGATTTCACATTGTACTACAGAGCTATAGCAAAAAAAATCAGTATGGTATTGCATAAAAACAGACACATTGATCAATGGAACAGAACTGAAGACCTGAGTTTTAAAAAGAAGCCAAAATATACACTGGAGAAAAAATAGTATCTTCAACAAATTGTGGTGGTCAGACTGGACGTCTGTGTGTAGAAGAACACAAAGAGATCCCTATTTGTCACCCTGAACAAAAACCTCAACTCCAAATAGATCAAGGATCTTAACATAAGACCAGATTCTCTGAACCTTAAAGAAAAGAGGGTAGGGAATTCACTTGATCTACATGGGCACAAGAAAGGCCTTTCTGACCAGGGCCCCCAAAGCACAAAGACCCACATTAGTAAAGGGGACCTGTGAAGCTAAAAGGATTCAGTATAGCAAAGGACACCTCCATTCAAGCAAAGCAGAAGCCTACAGAATGGGAAAAGAAAAAACTTTATACATCTGACAGAGGGTTTGTTTCTAGAATATACAAAGAATTAAAACAAAAAACAAAACAAAACAAAAAAACCTGAACATCAACAAAGCAATTCAATTTAAAAAAATGGGGTACAGTACTAAAGAGTTTTCAGTTCTCAAAAGATGAAGCACAAATGGCTAACACTCAAAAATTTTCAACATCCTTAGCCACCAGAGAAATGAAAATTAAAACTATTTTGAGAGTTCATCTTACACCAATCAGAATGGCCAAGATCAATAAGGCAAACATTGGCACATACTGGCACACTTACTCACCACTAGTAGAAGTCAACACTGGTACAGCCCATGGAAATCTGCATGGAAGTTCCTCAAAACACTGAAAATATATCTACCACAAAGCTCAGATATACCTCTCTTGGGCATATACCCAAAGGACTCTAAGTCACTGCAGAGATATTTGCTCATACATGTTCATTGCTGCTCTATTCATAATAGCCAGAAATTGGAAACAGCTTAGATGTTCCTCAGCTGATGAATGGATAATGAAAATGTGGTCACAATGTGTAAATTGTGTAAATTGTACACAATGTGTACATTGTGTAAATCCCATTTACACAATGGAATATTATTCAATGGGTAAGAAAGATAAAACTGTGAAACTTGCAGGTAAATGGATGGAGCTGGAAACACTCTTCCTGAGTGATGCATACCAGAGCCCCAAAGACAATATTGTGTGCTTTTTCTTACATATATATGTTAGCTCCCCCCCCCCCCCCCGCCACAGGGTTTCTCTGTGTAGTTTTGGTGCCTGTCCTGGATCTTGCTCTGTAGACCAGGCTGGCCTCGAACTCACAGAGAGATCATGACGGGGACAATTAACTGTAGTCAAATTTCTAAATGGTCTTATTAAATAAGAAACACGGAGCCAAATATAGGGGTGAAAACCTTAGAGAGATCACGGAAATAGGGAAAGCCACCAGCCAATCTTACCTCACCAACTCTGCAGCTTCCAAATGCAAGTTACATCCTGTCTATCCATGTCTTTATTGCCTTGCTGTTCTGTCCTCTCATTGGCTATCTTAGCCCAGCTACCTCATTTCCTTGTCACTGTCTGCCTGTACAGACCTCCAGGTCTCTATGGTTGGTACTGGGATTAAAGGCGTGTGTCACCATGCTTGGCTCTGTTCCCTAGTACAGCCTTGAACACATAAAGACCCTGCCTGGTAAGTGATCGGGTTAAGGGCATGTGCTGCCTGATTTTTTGTTTACTTAAAATGGTTGCCTTTTCCCCTAATCTCCAGGCAAGCTTTATTAAAGCACAAATAAAATATCACCACATTCCAGTACAAATAAAATATCACCACAATTAACACTAAAGGCCTTTAGAAAAACCACATGGAAATCTGGCACTGTGGAAGACCCCTAAAACACATACATGTATGAAAGGAAGTTAAATGGAGTCACCACATAATGAGGAAAACAATGCCCAGACTAGACATCATACGTTATGAGATAAAACCTCCAACCCCAGGAATGAGTAGCATCTTGTTGAGCTGTTGGCCTAAGGAGTCCCACAGAGCCTGCCCAACACCACAGGCTATTGTCCATGCTGTTGGTGACCCCCAACAACATGACAATAAGGCCTCATTGCTGAAGATACCACTGGTGTATGTCATTGAGCTTGTGTCCAAAGGGAAGTGTCACACCTACTGCCTAGTGTCCATGGTACTGGAAGTTACTATGCATGCTACAGATGAAGAGAAGTAACCACCAGTCTCACATCACCAGGGACTCTGTGACCTACAACAGCACCTGCCTGCAAGGTCTACTGGTGCAATGGTGGTACAAATGTGTGGGAGTAACCAATCAGTCTTTAATCGGATTGAAGCCCACTCCATAAGATGAAACTGACATCACTACAGTGGCCAAGAACCTGAGACTAGACACACTGTGAGCCCTACTCTGCTAAAGATACACAGCAGTACAATGACTCCTACTGACATAATGCTATACTTATACACTAGTGTGCCACTCAACCCTCTTGGAGTAGATGGTAATCAACAGAGACTCACAACTGGGCAATGTGCAGAGAGTGAGAGAGTTTGGAGCACTCAGCCCTAACTGGGATGTCTTTATCAAATCCTCCCCTGAAGTGCCAGGGATCTATATGGAAGAGGAGGCAGAAAGATTGTAAGTCAGAGGTGATGGATGACTCCAAGTAAAACATGTCACCAGACACAACAGGACTGATGCACATGTAGACTCACAGAGACTGTCATGGCATGTACAAGACCTACACAAGGTCAACCCAGACAAAATCCCAGCACAGAGAAGGGAAGTAAACACGATGTTCTACTCCTAAGAAACTATTTGCGATTTACCCCCCAGGGTAGGCTGTGTGATCAGGATTATTGGTCAACACCAAACAGACTCCATGCCTTCTGTTTTGTTTTAGTATTTTTACCTTTTTTCTTTGAGAGAGAAAGAGCACGAAGTTGGGT